TCAAAAATTATTCTTTTTTTTTTCAAAAATTATTTTATTTTTCCTTTCTTGGAATTCATAACATGATTGAATAAATAATTTGGCAAATTGTGATTAGTTTGTTAACATTTCCCGTTTGATATGTAATGACTATATTAAGTAAGCAATAAACCTGTGAGTGTTTTGAGCCATTGACTGACACTTCGGTCTTATTTTCTTTCTATTGTGCCATTTCTTCCATAATTTTGTTTCTCTAGAACTTGCCTTGATTCTCTTTTAAAGCTAATTAGACCATGCATGATTCAAGTGTGATTAAGACCAATATTTGATTTTTGAGCCTCACTAGCCAAATAACCGGTTTGTCCTATGATTTATTTCCCCTTGTTAACCACTTTGAGCTTTATGACCATTCTTTTCTTTATTTTGAACCACATTACAAGCCTTTTATATCTAAAAATAATGCCTTCACCCAGCTGAATAACTAGTGGAGCAAATTTTGGATTATGCTTGAAATCTACGTGAGTTTGTGAAGAATAAGTGTGGGGGAGATCACTTACTTTTGTTAATATGATTGAGAGTGAGGCGGATTGTATCTTCATTGCCAATTTGCCGTTGGTCTTCTATGAAAAAGAAAATGAAGACAGTTCATGATTCAAAAAAAAAAAAAAAAGGTATGGAAATTTGAAAGAATGAAATGGAAAAAATGGAGAATATATGTTTGAAAAAAAAAAAAAAAGAGATGTTGCTGAAAATTATATGAAAAATGAGAAAGAATCAGCAGTTTCTTCTGAATCTGAAGTTACCTCTAAATAAATGAAGCAAGGGGAATTTCTGGTAATATTGAAGAAGTCTTTATTTTTGAGAATGATAGTTGAAGTGTCAATGAGAAATGCTTTGAATGAAAATTGAGGGTGTTGGATTATTTGTACTTATTTGCTCCTCTAGTTTGAAGCTTATGCTTAAGGTACTTACCTAAATATTCCCTACCTTAACCCTAGCCCCATTACAACCTGTGAAAAGTCCTTATGATTTGTGTCATGCATGACTCTTGTAGTGGTAATTGAGAAGATATGCAAGCCTATGGTAGAGAAACTTTATAGGAATGAACTTGAGTGAAATTTATACTCATCAAACACTTGAGTGATGAGTGATATTCCTGTGAGGGCTTACTTATTTAGCTCTATCAATTTTCAGACAAGGGTGCTAACTTATTAATTGTAGGTTGCTTCAGATTATTGTTCATGATATATTATGAGTTTTGGGAATTTTATTTCCATTTACTTCGCAAATAATATTTTTGCTTGGGGACAAGCAAATATTTTAGTGTGGGGAAATTTGATAGGCATATTTTACACTCATATTTTAGGTACATCTTTATAATAATTTTGTAATAGTTATTTAATATTATCTTATAATTAGTTCTTTTTAATATATAATATATAATATATATATAATATATAATACATATTACGTACTATACTAATATATACATATATTTATTACGTATATATATGCATTATATATATATATATATATATATATATATATATATATATATATATATATATATATTCCTTAGCATGCAAACAAATAAAGTTTTATATTTTGGTTTCCTCCCAACGTACATTACGTGAAGACTTCTTCATTAGCAACGCATATCACGTACGGACAAATAGCTGCAGACTCGGTTGTACAAGACTTGGCGCAAAAATAGGAAAATGAATGGTGAAGAATGGTTCTAGTATATTTTGGAGGGTGTATAAATAGTAGTGAAATTCTTTTGTAAAACGTTCATTCTTCCCCTCTCGATTATTCTTTAAAGTTGTTGTCAATGTCCATTCGTGGCTAATTTCTTTAGCTTGGTTTAGTGAACTAAAGCTCCGGAATTGATTATGCTGTAAGATTATTTATTTATTTTATTATATAATTTTTATGCATTTGGGTATTAAATATTCTTCTAACCTATTTGATATAATTCTTTGCTATATTAATACATGGTTGCAGGGTTGCTAGAGGTGCACCACCGATCTCTCATTTATTTTTTGCAGATGATAGCCTACTGTTTTTTAGAGCAAATAGACAGGAAGCATTTGAAATAAAGAATTGTTTACAGTTATATGAGAGTTTATCTGGCCAGAAAGTAAACTATCACAAATCCAGCATATGCTACAGCAGGAATACAGGGCAGAATGATAAAGATATGGTGGCCCAAATACTGGGTGTTACACAAGCCCCCAACTTTGGGAAATATCTGGGGCTGCTTTCTTTTGTGGGACGAAACAAAAAGGCGGCATTTGCATACATTGAGGATAAAATCAAGCAAAGGATTGGATCTTGGAATAAGAGGTTGCTAACGCAGGCCGGGAAGGAAATATTGTTGAAAAGTGTGGCTCAGGCAATGCCAACTTTTTCAATGAGTGTTTTTCTTCTACCAATATCTGTTTGTACGGCTATTGAGCGTATTATGAATCGGTACTGGTGGGGGTCAGGTACGGATCGTGGCATACATTGGAAAGCCTGGGATAAATTGTGTATCCCAAAGAAATATGGTGGACTGGGATTTAAAGATTTAAGGGCATTTAATTTGGCAATGTTAGGAAAGCAGGCATGGAGGCTGCTCACTAACACAGACTCATTGGTAGCCAAAGTCTATAAAGCAAGATATTATCCAAAGGATACTTTCCTAGAGGCAACTATAGGAAATAATCCAAGTTTTTGTTGGCGCAGTATCATGGCAGCAAAAGAGCTAGTATGTGGTGGCGTAAGAAGAAGAATTGGGAATGGAAATTCTACCTTGATATTGGAGCATCCCTGGCTGAATGATGAACTGGATCTTATGATTCACACGGAAATGCCGCAATATCTGTCTGGGGCCAAAGTAATAGGGCTAATTGATCATGATACAGGTACCTGGGATCCACATATATTGGCAGATATTTTCCAACCGAGTGATATACCCAGAATTCAGAGTATACCAATTGCCCCTGAGTATGATGATATATGGTATTGGTATGGTGATCCTAATGGATGTTATTCAGTCAAGAGTGGCTACAGGCATATAGTGGGGAGTTATGAGAATAATTCTAATGGTATTTTTAATGAATGGCTAACCTTATGGAAATTAAAAATACCACCAAAGTGGAAGACATTCCTATGGAGAGCTATTTGTGATATCCTTCCTACCACTAACAATCTGCTTATAAAGAGAGTGGATGTTAACCCAATGTGTGCCATGTGTGGAAATGTGAATGAAGATACCATGCATGCATTAGTTTTTTGTGACTATGCACACTCCATTTGGGCAAAATCCAACCTTCCAATCCCCAATATTGTCACAAATATTTTTCATGAATGGTTTAGTGCAATCTTGAATGTTCTAGACTTTGATGGAATTGTTTATGCAACTGCAATTTTATACCATCTTTGGAGGGCCAGAAACGGAGCGGTATGGGATGCCTGTCTACCAAGACCAACGAAATTATTGTCAGTGGCGGCAGCCACAATGAAAGCATGGAAAGATATTCACCATCGTGCCCCGCCGTCACAGCCACGAACGCCAGCCACCACCTTACTGCCGAACAGCAGCCACTGCCGCCGCTGGGACCGAACGCCGAGCCTGCCGGGAATGGACTGCCACCGCCGCATGCTGCCACTTCAGAATCCGTGATTGGCGAGATGATGACATCCGTCAAATGTTATATGGACGCGAGTTATCATCAAGGAACCAATGTTGCAGCTGTTGGTGCGGTACTTCTCGATGCCAATGGCCACTACATATCTGCCTTCAGCGCCCCGTTAACAGGTTGTCACTCACCGCTCATGGCCGAGACTTTGGCATGCAAAGAGGTTTTATCATGGCTTAAAAGGAGGAATGAACTATCTATACAGATTCATACGGATTGTCAACAGCTACAGTGCTACTTATCTGGGCCACCAGCCACGTTACGCTCGCATTTAGGTTATGCTATCGATAGTTGCAGAACCTATATGTCTACTTTTAATTATTGTTCAGTGCTTTACATTCCTAGATTACAGAATTTATTAGCTCATACATTAGCTACTTCAGCACTTAGTTTCAATACTGCTATGTACTGGGACAATGTTCCACCAGACTCTATTTTAACTCTTCTATAAATACAACCGCCAGGTTGACTTTCAAAAAATAAAGATAATGTTGTGCTACAAATTATTCTAATATTCAGTAGCAACTGAGGTTAATTATTGACGGCTTAGTGATAATTGATTTCAGGAAGAATATTTTCCTAAATTAAATGCAACCGCTTGTGCTTGTGTTATTTAGTTTGTCGGTTTTCCTAGTTCCTATTGCTGCTATTAAATTAAATCTATAGCGCTTGTCTTAGGTTATTTAGTAGTTAGGGGTAATTAAACCGCGTGTGCTTTAGTTACCTACAACTAAGGGAAAACAGAAATGAAATAATTTCACGACAAATATTCAATTGCATATCAATTACCTTTTTGAGTCAATGATCAGTGTTAAATTCCGGTGGTGGATCTTTACTAACCAAGGTTTTCTATTATAGGTGCTTTCAATATATTGTTTTCATTGCTTTATTCGTTTATTTTCTTTGATTATCACGTTCATACCAAACCCCCCTTTACTTTAATTTGAGCACATACATTAAACTAGTTACTCCTCGTGGGATCGATCCTTACTCCCGCTACTACGTTTGTAAGGTTTTAATTTGGGAGCCTACGACAGCTCACTATGGACACTTCCCATTCATAGATCTTAAAAATGCTCTAAACAACCACACAAATGATTCTATCCTCTCATTCATCAAAAAACCACATCCAAACATTACATTCATGGAGTGATGGTTCATCCCTACAAAAGGGCCACAAATCATACCATATTTATTGGTGCGATATGTTCTATCATGCACTAACAAATCCCCAAACAACTCATAGTCTTGTCTCATCCGACCATCCCTCCAAAAAAAACTGCACAGTCTTGAATCGCAATCAACTTCAAAATCGAAGAAAAAATCAGACTCAGTCGATTACCTCTTCCTAAATATTTCAATTAATGAGTTCGAATCTGTTCCATCCAAACGCTTTGATGTATCTGAAGCAATCGAATTATAAGCATCTCGATTAGTGAAACCAATTAATGGAGACCCCCCTGCTTGATGTTTCAAAAACCTAATACCATATGCCATTGCAACACCACTCTTCTTCAAATCTTTTAAATATAACAGCTGATTATCACCCACATTTCTATGTGAACGGAGAAGATGACTCTTGTCTACAGCACATAACTCGTGGTTGTGCACTTTTACGTGTTTTGTAACTGTCCACAACCCATCCTCACCCACGTCAAACTGAACACATGCACCACACCCTGTCCTTATGTCAATTTTTGAATATGCCCTAACACCAGCATTTGCCTTAACCTTAAAACCAGCTTTAGAACACATAAACATCTTCATTTGGACTGTTTTACTATATACCTTGCACCGTTGATTACCCTTCCTCACACTAAAACCAGCTCTATATGCATAATTGTTATACAACTCATAAGCTTCAACCCCGTTACTTACAACAACATCAACCAAATCTTCATCAACTGCAAATGCAATATATAACCTCAAGTATAACAAATAATACACATTCCATTGAAAATATAATTCCTAAGTAGAGAGGGTGCGGGGAATGCCGAATAAATCCAGTCATGCTCTACAAAAGGAATAACATTTTCCATGGAAAAAGAATGAAAATATAACAACGCTGAACACTATGAATTATGAGCATATAAAACTACATATAGACCTGGAATTGAAGAAGAACCATCAATGTCTAACTCTATTGGATCTGAACATGATAAATCGACAACAACATCTTCACTGACTGCATAATGTTACAAGCCAAAACAGAGTATCAGTTTAGAAATTTGTGGATATATAGTATTAGAATTCTGGATATATAGCTCACAATTTCTGGACATAAAGTTCAATAATTATGGATATACAATCCAGAACAGAGTATCCGTTCACAAAAATCCTTGATATATACTATTATAATTCTGGATATATAGCTCACAACTTCTGGTTATATAGTTCAAAAATTATGGATATATATTTCGTTCATGCAGAAAACAATAAACACATAAACACCCAGATTTACGAATGATCTCAAACTAGAATGACCAACATCACATACGTTGTATACAATCACACTAAATATAAACACATAAACAATATATCACACTGCAACAATCAAAATAATCGTAAACGATCACAAATCCATAAAAAACCAAATGCAAAATAACCTGGAACCGTATGCAATTCATCAACTGCTTCATCTCTCTGATCTACTGCCTCATCCATCATATGATCCATACAAGAAATCAGGAAAACGACTGCGATTGCTATTGCGATTGCGATTTACGTATACTAAAATCAAAACGCCAAACTACCAAAATTCGCAAAACTACCAAATATGATATGAATAACGCCGCTAACGGCCATCTAATTTTTTTTTTTTTAATTTTATGTGAGCCGTGTCTTTTCTTAATAAAACAGCGCCGTTTTACAACCGTATGCACCTTGCAAGGTGCATTCGGTTGCACGGCATAATTTGCGGAAAAGACACTATGCGCATGCCTGCCAAAAGAAATTCTTTATTTTTGCAGGTATCCATAAGTTCCGCATTAAAGTCCAATCTTCCACCACATTCACATTAGCCTCCCCGGCCCAATCAAAGCCCTATAGCAACTTTTCACACCGAAACTACCACTCTCCTCCACAATCGTTATGCCGGTAAACACGGTCCCAAACGGTAATGGTGCCTACAGGCACTGTTATCTTCTATCAATTTTTTTTTAATTAATAGTTCGACTTTTCTTCTTCATATTCATATTTTGTGATTTCACTTTCTCTTCGTGCAAGTTTATTCAAAACTCATAAATTATGAATATGCAGGCATGGATTTATGAATGTGCAGTTATGAAATTATAAATTTTCTTTTATGAGATTATGAATTTTCTTTTATGAGATTATGAATTTTTTATTATGAGATTATGAATGTACAGAAAATTCATAATTACATAACTGTAAATTCATAATCTCATAACAGAAAATTCATAATTTAATAAATATTTTTCTTTTATGAGATTATGAATTTTCTGTTATGAAATTATGAATTTTCTGTTATGAGATTATGAATTTTTTGTTATGAGATCATGAATGAAATTCATAATTACATAACTGTAAATTCATAATCTCATAACAGAAAATTCATAATCTGAACATAGAATGCAAAACGCCATTAACAACACATTAACTATTTTTTTTTTTTTCGATAAAAAACGATGCCGTTTGGGACCGTGTTCACCAAGCATGGTCGAACACGTTTCCACGGCATAATTTGCGTCTCCCCCATTGTCTAGATCAGTTTGTCAATTCTGCTAGCCTTAGAGATACGAATATTCATAATTAAGTTGAAATCTCTTTTGTTAAATATGTCTTTGATGAATTCCTCATTCCATCCATCATCGTGCATATTTAGTATTTAGTAATGATGCCACAGTCGCTTACTCAAGAAGGGGATAAGAGAAAGTTGAGACTCTTGCATTGATTATATATATCAGGGAGCCAACAATCTTGCCAGATTCTAATATTGTTCCCATTCCTCACTCTCCACCTAGAATTCCTCCTAATACTATTGGGTTTCCAGCAAACTCGACCAAATAAATGAGGGGTTATAGCCTTTTCCAGCCTCAAGGAAAGAAGAATTGGGGAAACCTTGCTTTACGTAGCCTTGCCATCAAAGATTCCGGGTGTTATCGTTAAATAGATGATATACCATAAGGTTATCTCAGTTGGTTCGACTGATCACCTTAAAGTCTTGCTCCAGCCACAGCGTGGGAGTTTGAAGACCCCTTGTGCAAAGTGTACATGCAGGGGTAGGAACTTGGGAATTGACGGGCGATTTACCTCCTTCGGCGACTCTTAGGCAAATGCAATGAGGGTTTAGAATTAGTCTAACATAAGCTGAAATACCTAATAATGTATTAAAAAAACTGTTCATTTTCTACTTGAATACATGTTGAAGGTTGATTCAGATTTTACATAATGGGCTTGTATACTTGAATACATGGATTCCTCATCCCCACTTAATTTTCAATGGGGATGGGAACATGGAGTATACTCCCTACCTCCGTCTCGTCCCGTTGCCATTCCTATTCGCAAATCAGCAAGACAATGCCATGAAATTCATCCGTGATGAACAAGATATGGAGTGATTGTCAGAAGGTGGATATGGGAGTTTGGACTATGTGATGTTTGGATTTTGTTATATTCTAGATATGTATTGTTGACTTGTTTGGACTTATTTTTGCGTTGATAAATTTGAAATATGCAGGCATTATTATTAGCTTGTTTGTATTTTAAAATTTAAATTATTAATGAAAATAAATAAACAAATATTTGTGCTAGAAAATTAGGAACTATTGAGATTTTCAAGTCGAATCGAACCAAATTTGAGCAGAAACCACAAATCGAACTGAAACAAAATTGAACTACAATGTTAACCTGAATGGTTTATTTTTTCAAAACTAAACAAACGAAAACTACCAAGTACCAAGGCTATGTGGTCTAATGGTACCCGGGTTGAACTTCCATTTGAAAGATTGAGTCTCAGTAGAGGCGTTATTGGTAACTTTGTGTTTCAGTAGGTTGAGAATGTATATATGAACCGATACTACATTGTAATAGAGCCAGTAGCATTAAAAAAACAAACGAAAACTGAAAAAAAAAATTCCAAAATGCCCACTCCTAATTTTTTCTAATAAAATAATAGCACAAGATTTGTAGCATAATGTACACCTTATTAATTATAGAAATACTTACATAAAATCAAAAGTACTAATTTAACTTGGATCCACTCCATTCATTATACGTAGACCACCGATATAAGGCTCATTTTAATATATTAAATATTAAATGTTCATTTTTAAGTATACCGTAAACTAAAATTTTAATATATTAAAATAAATTTTTAATATACTAAAAATAATACTTATCAATAGTATATATTGCAATGTGAATCATAGTTCGCATATATAATTTGCCGGATCCATTCTTATAACAATCGTTATATCATGCATCAGGATGCACAATGCATTGTGCATCCCGCCCTGTCCAAAATGACGTCATTTTGTTAAGTTGTGTGGAATGTTGACGCGACGGAGTTTATGTGTATTCTGTTATACAATTATGTACATTCTATTATACAATTATGTACATTCGAAACATATAATTTGTTTAAGAGTTAAGAATTTATGTGTATTACGTATTATGTTAGATTATGTGTATTATCCTTTCAAAAAAGACTTTATGTATTATGTTATACAATTATGTATATTCTATTATACAATTATGTATATTCGAAACATGAGTTTTTTTTTAAGAAGTTAACAGTAGATACGAAAAATGAAATTTTCAAAAAAAAAAAAAAAAAAACAGGTACAAAACGACGTTATTTTGGGTCAGAGCATACAATGTATTGTGCGCCCTGGTGCACCATATAATTTGCCCTATTATAAGTTTCTTTAGGCATTCATTGCAAATTCTAACAAATTATGCCCTGGACCCGTGTCCACAATGCATTGTGGACACGAGTCCAAAATGACGTCGTTTTCAGGAAAACGCGTCATTCTAGTTTAAAAAAAAAAATTGATTTTGTCTCGCCGTTAACGGCGTTATTCGTTTGTGCCATTTTGAATGTACAGTTATGGGATTATGAATGTACAGTTATGGAATTATGAATGTAAGTTATAAAATTATGAACATAGAGCTCTGACATTGTGAACTTATAATTATGAACATATAGTGATAAAATTATGATCATAGAGCTCTAAAATTGTGAACATGGAACTTCGAAAATTATGAATTTACAGTTATTGAATTATGAATGTACAGTTACGGAATTATGAATGTACAGTTATGGAATTATGAACACAGAGCTCTGACATTATGAACTTACAATATGAACATATAGTGATAAAATTATGAACATAGAGCTCTAAAATTATGAACATAGATTTTCGAAATTATGAATTTACAGTTATTGAATTATGAATGTATAGTTACGGAATTATGAATGTACAGTTATTGAATTATGAATGTATAGTTACGGAATTATGAATGTACAGTTATGCAATTATGAATGTACAGTTATACAATTATGAACACAAAGCTCTGACATTATGAACTTACAATTATGAACATATAATGATAAAATTGTGAACATATACTCATATAACAAAGTGATATGAAATAATTAAAAAAAAAAAAAAAAAAAAAGTGGAAGAGAACGGTGCCACTAACGGCATCGTTACTGTATCCAGCATGCATGCTGGGGCAAATTATGTTGTGCATCTGTATGCACCATGCATGGTGCATACGGATGCAAAAACGACGTCGTTTTGGTTATAAAAAAAAAAAAACGCGCGTCCCACTTAAAAAAGAAATCAGGTTCGATTCCCGGCAATTGCATTTTTATATATCCATAAATTCATAACTATATATCCACAATAATACTATTGCCGGGAATCGAACATGGATTTTTTTTTTAAGTGGGACACACGTTTTTAGTCAAAACGACGTCGTTTTGCATCGTATACACCATGCATGGTGCATTACTATTGGCATGCTGGATACGGGTCCATAGCATAACGATTGGCAAATTCTGGGATGGGCTAATAATTCCAAGAAGATAGATAAGCCCAAGGATTAACTAATTGCATCTCCCTTGGAGTCTAAATGGAGACATTTTGTTTAAAGTATTTTTATTTGATCAAAATTTTGGCATGCAAAATTAGTTTATGGGGCGAAGAACAACGGCAAATTATTGTGTGGATTATGAATATCAAGTATATTTTTAATATATTAAAAGTATATTATTTTTGTACAGAAGGTACATTATATAAAATAATGTATTCTTAATATATTAAAAATATATTTTTTATTTATGGTTCACACAATTGTGTGGACCATGATCCATGTAATAATGATTGAAGAACAGCTACTTGGGCCTTTGAGTACCCTTAATGTCCACGTGGAATGGGCCAAAAAGCCCAATTAAATAATGTCCACGTGGAATGGGCCAAAAAGCCCAATTACATATTGCCTGGCAATACTTGGTGTGATATTGGAAGGCAAATTATACCATGGCCATGTTTAGCCATCAACGGTTATCGGTTTGTGTTACCGAAAACCGATTGTGTTAACGAGTTTGACTAACGGATTGTATTAGTGGTTTTTTAAAAGATGTTTAATAAGGGTTTACTTTGCATTGTGGGCCCTAGTCTAAAATAACCTTCAAA